GTTGGGGAGGAATAGCATTAGGAGAAATACCTAATGTAGTTGACGGGGTGATGGATGAAGCAAACCACCATGGCACCTGTATACCTATGTAACAAACTTGCATGATCTGCACATGTGCCCCAGAACTTAAAGTATAATAATGAAAAAAAGAAAGCCTTTCTTCTGAAATCTGGAACAAGACTGGGATGCCCACTTTCACCACTGTTTTTCAACATGATAGTGGAAGTCCTGGCCAGAGCAGTAAGGCAAGAGAAAGAAATAAAGGGTATCCAATTTGGAAAGGAAGAAGTCAAATTAACCTTGTACACGGATGACATGATCTTATATTTAGAAAATCCTAAAGACTTTAATGAAGTCTGTTTCAGCAAAATTGTAGGATTAAAAGTCAATGTTTATATATGCCAACAGCAAACAATCTTAAAGATTGTTAAAGAAATTAAGAAATCACTTCCACTTTTGATAGTTACAAAGAATACAAAATACCTAGGAATTCATTTAACCACAGATGTGAAAGATTAATACAAGGAAAAATATAAAACACTGGTGAAAGAAATTGAAGAGGATACAAGAAAAAAAATGGAAGGATAGTTTATGCTCATGGATCAGAAGAATTAATATTGTTAAAATGAAAATGCTACCCAAAGCAATTTACAAATTCAATGCAATCCCTATCAAAATACCAATGACATTCTTCACAGAAATAGCAAAACTAATTCTAAAATTTTTATATGGAACCTCAGCAGACCCTGAATAGCCAGAGTCATCCTGAGCAAAAAAAAGACACAGCTAGAAGCATCATACTACTTGACTTCAAAATATACTACAAACCTATGGTAACCCAATCAGCATGGTACTGGCATAAAAATAGACACATATACCAATGGAAAAGAATGGCAGATTGATATAAGTTCACACATTTATAGCCAACTCATTTTTGACAAAGGCAGTAAGCCCATATACAACTGGGAAATGACAGTCTCATTCATCAACGGTGCTGGAAAATCTGGATACCCATGTGCAAATAAAAGTCTATCCCTGTCTTTCACCATATTTAAAAATCAAGTCAAAGTGGTTTAGAGTCTTAAATATAAGCCCTGAAATTATGAAACCAGAAGTAAAACTCAAAAAAATGCTCCAGAACATTAGTTGGGGCAAAGAGAGTTTGTATAAGACTAAGACCTGAAATTATGAAACCAGGAGGAAAACTTGAAAAAAATGCTCCAGAACATTGGTTGGGGTAAAAGTATTTTGTGTAAGGCCTTAAAACACAGGAAACCAAAGCAAAAATAGACAAATGGGATTACGTCAAGCTAAAAAGCTTCTTTTGCACAGCAAGCGAAACAATCAGAGTGAAGAAATAACCCACGGAATGGAAGAACATTTTTACAAGCTGTCCATCTGACAAGGGATTAATAATTAGAATATCCAGGAATATCTGGATACCCATGTGCAGAATGAAAGTCCATCCCTTAAACAAGGAGCTTAAACAAGTCAATAGGAAAAAATCAAATGATTTAATGATTTTAATTGGATCATTAAAAAATTGATCCAATTTTTAAATGGGCAAAAGTTCTGAATAGACATTTCTCAAAAGATGGTGTACAACTGGCCAACAGATATATGAAAAAATGCTCAGTATCACTAATCATCAGAGAAAGGCAAATCGAAACCACAGTGACATATCATCTTATCCCAGTTAGAATGGCTTTTATCAAAATGACAAGAAATAACAGATGCTGGTGAGTACATAGAGAAAGGAGAGCTCTCGTACACTGTTGATGGGAATGTAAATTAATGAGTGCAGCCTCTACGGAAACTACATGGAGGTTCTCCAAAAAACTAAAACTACCATATGATCCAGCAATCCCACTACTGGGAACATATTCAAAAGAAAGAAAATCAGTATCTCAAAGAGATGTCTGCACTACCATGTTTATTGCAATACTATTTATAATACCCAAAACATGAAATCAACTTATGTGTCCATGAATGGATTAATGGATAAAGAAAATGTGGTATATATAGATATACAATGAAATATTCAGCCATTAAAATTTTGTCATTTTTCAGCAATATGGATGGAAGTGGAGGTCATTATGTTCAAATAATCATTATGTAAAATAACATCATTATGTAAAATAATCCAAGCACAGAAAGACAACGCACGTTCTCACTTAGTCGTGGGAGCTTAAAAAGTGGATATTATAAAGATGGAGAATAAAGTGGTGGCTACCAGAGGAGGGAAACAGCTGGGTGCTGGGGGTGGGTGAATAGAGGTTGGTTGATGGGTACAAATATACACTTAGAAGAAATAAGAACTGGTGTGTGATAGATCAGTAGGGATACTATATTTAATATAAAGTGTACATTTCAAAATAGCTAGGAGAATCATTAGGATGTTCCTAGTGTAAAGAAAAATATTTAAGGTGTTGGACATCCCAATTACTCTGATTTGATTATATAAATGTATCAAATTGTCACATGCATCTCAAAAGTATGTACAGCTATTAAGTATCAGTAAAAATAAATTAATTAAAAACAAGATTTAGACTAGCTCAGCCTAGTGGTGTGGTTGCTAAAGTTCAGTACCCGGGCCAGCAGCACCAGCTTCCCCTGGGAACTCATTAGAAATGTAACTTCTCAGCCCCACCCAAGACCTGCTGATTCAGAAGCTCAGGGGGTGGGCCCAGCTCGCTTGGCTCGCTCCTTCCTTCCTTCCTTCCTTCCTTCCTTCCTTCCTTCCTTCCTTCCTTCCTTCCTTCTTCCTTCCTTCCTTCCTTCCTTCCTTCCTTCCTTCCTTCCTTCCTTCCTTCCTTCCTTCCTTCCTTCCTTCCTTCTTCCTCCCTCCCTCCCTCCCTCCCTCCTTCCTTCTTTTGGCTCTTTCTTTTCTTTCTTTCTTTTTATTTCTCTCTTCCTTCCTTCCTTTCTTTTTTTCTCTCCTTCTTCTTTCTTCCTTTCCTTTCCTTTCTTTTCTTCCTCTTTTTCTCCCTCCCTCCCTCTCTCCCCTCCTTCCTTCCTTTTGACAGTTTCACTCTTGTGGCCCAGGCTGGAGTGCAATGGCACAATCTCCACTCACCACAACCTCTGCCTCACACACGCTGCTCCCATGGCCCAAGCCGCCTTCTCTTCCCTCCCCACCTGTCCCTTCAGCGGGGCAATCTCCCTCAGCTTTCTGGCCTTGACCTACCTGATTCTCGCTGGCCCTACCTAAATAGGTCAACTCTTCATTCATCACCCATCAACCCCTGCCCATTACTCTCATAACATCCTTTACTTTCATGTAAGCTTGTCCAACCCTCTGCCTGCAGGCTGAATGTGGCCCAACATAAATTTGTAAACTTAAAACATTATGGTATTTTTTTTTTGCAATTTTTTTTTTTTTTTTAGCTCATCAGCTGTTGTGTTAGTTTGTTGTTGTTTTTGGGACGGAGTCTCGCTTTGTCATCCAGGCTGGAGTGCAGTGGCACGACCTCTGTTCACTGCAACCTCTGCCTCCCGAGTTCGAGTGATTCTCCTGCCTCCGCCTCCCAAGTAGCTGCTATTACAGGCGCGTACCACCATGCCCAGCTAATTTTTGTATTTTTAGTAGAGACGGGGTTTCACTGTGTTGGCCAGGCTAGCCATAAATTCCTGACCTCCGGTGATCTGCCCATATCAGCCTCCCAAAGTGCTGGGATTACAGGCGTGAGCCATGTGCCCGGCCAGTGTGTGTGTGTTTTTTTTAATGTGTGGCCCAAGACAGTTCTCCCAATGTAGGCCAGGGAAACCAAAGACTGGACAGCCCTGCTTAGCACATCCTGGATCTCCCCGAGATCCCTCACTATTCCCTCAGGGCCTTCAGCTGCACCCTCACTATTCCCCCAGGGCCTCCAGCTGCACCCTCACTATTCCCCCAGGGCCTCCAGCTGCATCCTCACTATTCCCCCAGGGCCTCCAGCTGCAGCGTCCTCTGTCCTGCAGGCATTTACCTTGTGCTCCTCCCTGACTGCTGGACTGAGGCTCTGTGAGGTCAGGGCCTGGCCCAGTCATGGCTCAGTGATGCTCAAAAGAATGGATGGATGTTGGAGGTGTGCAGACAGTCAGCTCCACTCTACCCGGCAGCTGTCTCCACATCGCAGCTGTCTCCTGGAGCAACCCTTCTGCATCCCCTGGCTCCTCCTCCTGTCATTCATTCATTCAACTCATTCATTCAATTCCTGTCATTCACTTATCCAGTAAACATTTACAGAGAACCTAGCCTGTGCCAGGCTCTGACGTTCAGTCAAGATGGAAGACAATGTCCTTACATGGACACTTGGATGACTAAGGAAGGAACTCTGTAGGTACCAAAATGACAATAAGGTAGGTGGCCTGAGGCCGGCAGCTGTCCTGTGAAAACAATGGCAAAGACTCAGGCTCCCAAACTGGGAGTCATATTATTGGTCTGTGGTATAAAAATCACTGGCAAAACACATCTATGCTTATTATCCAAGCACGCAGAGGCCCAAAGGTGTCTGCTGGCATTTCTTTGAAGAGGCGGTTTTGTGCAAGCACTGAGCATCCACACTTGGGGACCCTTATCCTGGGCGAAGACCATGCCTGAGTTCTGCTAGGAGATCCACCCTTACTCCCAAATCACTCACCAGAGCTTCTCCCCTCTACCCAGGCTCATAAAGATTTGAGAGCTCAGAGACAGAGGAAATGCCACATGTCTTTCCCTACTTCTGAGCCCCACGGGGCCACAACACGCCTTCCCCTGACCTGGCAATGACAGACAAGCTGGGGTCCTTCCCCATCGCCAGCTCTGCAGCACTGCCCGCCTGGGAACCTCATTCAGCCATTCTGTGGAGTTTTCATGATGGGTTTCATCCCATCATCATGGGACTAGACTCTTCAGGGAGTCACATTACCTCTCTGGGCCTCAGTTTCCCCTCCTGTGAAACAACAGGGTGGAACTTAAGGACCCCTCCAGTTTTCTCTGATAATCTGAATCTGTCTTGTGCATGTACATAGCCCTGCAATAGCGTCAAAGAGCTTTAATTGTGGGATGGAAAAGAAAGAAGCCTGTGGATTTTGAGGAGGGGACAGGTTCCGCCAAATGCAGACCGTGACTCCGAGGGCCTCTCTGATGGGCTGGATCTTGTACTCTGAGTTTATCGGCAGTGAATGCTGTCTGGCAAGTCCAGTGAGTCTCCAGTTGGTTCTCCACTGGGGTGGCAGCTCTCAGAAGTGTGGGACAGGATGTAGGCGACGGGGAGGGACTGGGATCGCGTGCTCCCTCGAGGACATAGCGCACAGTGGTGGTCTGGGGTAGGATGAGGTATAAGTGCTCTGCTTCAGGCCAGCCTTGGGTGCGAGCCATCTCTGCTTGAGCTGCTCAAAGAGTCCATAGTTTGTAGGGGGAGCTGCAAGAGAAACCAGGGTCCAGCTGAACGGGTCTTAGAGAAGGAGTCTTACCCTAAGTGGCCATGAGACTGGGCAGCAGGGACCTGGAGGTTTCCCAGGCTCTTCTATCAGGGACTGAGGCTGGCAGAGCCCCATATAGGGAAAGGGCCTTGCAGAGAGCATTGGTTCAGGCAGGCTCTGGCAGTCTCGAGGTGGGTCTGCTCCCAAGTGCTCAGGGGAGTCCAGGTTCTGCCACAGGCGCCTTAGAGAAGTCAGCCCCATGGTGTGGTTGTGCGTGGCCTCGCCAATCCTGAGTAATTGTCCCACCCCGTCAGGAAAGAAGCTGTGTGCGTTTGTGCATTGAGAGTGAAGTTGAGGAGAATCCCACACAAAAGTAATGCAGTGACCAGCAGCTCATTCTTCAACCTATGTCCCTTTGCATCAAAAGGTAGGATCACAAAGAGATGGCACTGCTCTGTGTCCTCATTAGGGTAGACGTGACTTGAACTGTAAGTCAGATCAAGGCACTCTCCTAAAAAAATCCACTCCAAGTCGTGGGATTGTGGGTAGGGCACATTCCATTCCCTTCACTGTGCCCTATAAGGCCCTACAGGGTCCTCCGCCATTCCTGCCTTGGAACTTTTTCACCTACTGTTTCTTCCTCTGGAATGCCCTTCCTCCCAATCCCTGTATGGCTCCCTCCTTCCCAGCTTAACTATCTCCTCAACAAAGACCATCCCTCCCTTTTCCAAGGAGGCATTTGTGAAACCAAAGGAGGTTTACAAACACACCACCTCACCGTCTATCCATTCCCTGTTTCTTTTACTAGGGCACATTCCTGTCCGTCATTGTCTATGCGATCTTAAGTGTTCTTACTTTTCAATGGTGTCTTATCTGTTTCCCCACTGGAAGGTCAACTCCCAGAAATTCCTCAGCGTTTGTCACCACTGCAGCAGGGGGCACTCCCTGGGAATGACTATCATTATTCATGTAATAAATAGAACTGAGAGGGAGGATGCATGGATGTCCCTCCCTGCCACCTGTGCTCTAAGCACACCACCATGAGGCACAGGTGATGGCTTCATTACACAGCCAAGATTGCCCCGTGTCAAGGGAGAGGACAGGTGGCAGCCCTGAGGGGACAATAGGACTGAGCCCCTACTACGTCATTCCGCTACTCTCCTAGAGCTTGGGCCCCCCTGTGCTTCCTTCTGCATGAAGCTGGTACAGCTGTGTTGCTCCAGGCACCTTTACAGACCAACACAGAGGAAAACCCTGAATTATAAAAGTACCAAGAAGGGGATAGTCAGACTTCTCTGGCAGCCACAGTAGCTTCTGTCCGTTCCAGGTGCGGAGTGGAGGCAGCCCCGGGTTGTAACCATGCCGGTTGTAATGGTCGTCATAGGTGCTGATCAGGTAGCGATGCGGGGGCTCCTGGTGGTGGGTGATCAGGTGTTTGTAAGGGAGCCCCTGGAAGGACAGACACGGTGGACTCGTCACTGATAGGAGCAAGGCATCTGCCTGGCCTCGGTGGAGACAGCTGCCACAGTAGGGGTCTGTGGTGCTGATGGAGAGAGTGGGCATCCGTGGGCTGGCAAAGGGTCTTCAGGGCCACCCGTGGGGGACACACTTGTTGATCCTACGCTGGGGCAGCCCACTTTCAAACACATCCCAGCCAGCTGCAGTCAGTTCTCTATATGACCGGTCCCATGCCACGCCAATTCATTCCTAGAATGAGCTACGGTGACACATTAAAATTAACGCCACAAGAAGGGAAAACCAAACACCACATGTTCTCACTCATAAGTGGGTGTTGAACAATGAGAACACATGGACACAGGGAGGGGAACATCACACACCGGAGCCTGTCAGGGGGTTGGGGGCTAGAGGAGGGATAGCAGGGAGTGGAGGGATAGAGGAGGGATAGCATTAGGAGAAATATCTAATGTAGTTGACGAGGGGATGGATGCAGCAAACCACCACGGCATATGTACACCTATGTAACAAACCTGCGTGATCTGCTGGTGTACCCCAGAACTTAAAGTAAAAAAAAAAATGAAAGCTAGGACATCCTGCTAAATGAGAAGAGTCAGCACTACCTCACTTGTGGTCTGAAACTGCACCCTGATTTGTCTGAAGTCTTATGCATCCAAGCCTGTTCCTAGGGGCAAGGAAAAGATGGTGAGTGCCAGTCTGACGTGTGTGCCTTATATTTCTGTCTGTTACTGTGGGAAGAATCCGAGAACACCCCATAAATTGCCTTCTCTTGCACAGGATTTATGGCTCACTCAGCTGGAAACCAGGTGAGTGATTTCTTTGGTGAGGAGTAATTTACAGGGAAAAGAAAGCCATGTTCTCCTTACTCTGGGATGTTTGCCTGAAGCAGTGCTTTTCCTAAGAAAATCCTCTTGGGCCCGGAAGGGAATCCTGGGGAACTGCACTGATTTACAAGGGCGGGTAATGTTGATTTCCACGCTTGTCCTCTTGTTTGGAGCAGACAGGGAGGCCTGTGTCTGCTGTGGCCTGGAAATGCCGGATGCACCCAATATTTCAAGTGGTGGTTCCATAAATAAGTCAGATCACAATGCCAGAAGGGGACAAGGGGGGTGGGCACAGACATTAAGCAGGATTCCCAAGACCCACATCACCAGGTACCCCATAGTGTATTTCCAATGCCGGAGTGACTTGGAGGGTTTCCCATCAACAGAGGGAAGTGCCGAAGTAGCATTGTGGCCCGAGAGAAAGAGAGGCCAGCAGGAATTTTCTTGCAGTTTCTTTTCTTTTCTTTCTTTTTTTTTTTAAAGATGGGGTTTCACCATGATGGCCAGGCTGGTCTTAAACTCTTGACCTCAGGTGACCCACCCACCTCAGCCTCCCAAAGTGCTAGGATTACAGGCACCTGGCTTTCTTGCAGTTTCTCTTGGTTTGGGGTGTGGTCCTGCCGTCTCTATTGTGTGCCTGGGGTTTTTCCTCATTCGAGTGTGGGAAGGTGACAGACCCAGAGACAACTGCCTTTGATCTGAGCGATCTCTTTCCAAGCACTAAAATGCCGCACCTTCCGAAAGTTGTCCCCTACCTTATTCTGTGCCTCTCTGCTGCCACCCTGAGGTTAAGCCGGTGTAGTAGGGTCAGGTGGGATGGGAGTGGGGAGGAAGAAATCACTTATGACAGCAACAGGCTGGCAAAAATAAACAACTCAAGGGGACTCCCAGAGTGTGGTGGGGACAGAGCACAGCTGTGCACCCAGTGGGTGAGCACCTACAAGCTGTTCTCCCCAGGGCGTACCTGCTGGGAGCTACCCACAGGGGATGATGTAGGAGGAGGCTTTCCCTGCTGTTCCGGGAAGGGCCAGGATCTCTGAGCCTCTGGCACACCAAGTTAATAACTGTCTCCTATATGCTCACTAGTGGGACTGATAAAGATAATAATAGTCTCAAACGCCCCTCCCTGGGTGTGGGGAGCATGTTCTGAGGTTGCAGTGCCCTGCTCTCTGCTTCCAACACCTGTAACACCATGATGCCCACAGACAAGTGCCCAGTCAATAAACGGAGTGTGTGAACAGTGCTTGACATTTCATACGAAAGAACAGGAAGCTGGAGCACAGATAATACAAGACTCTGTTTGTCCAAATATTTCATTGCTAGCTGCTTTTGCAGTGCCTTATGAGATTCCTGACTATATTCACCATTTAGTTTTGTTGCTGTTTCTCCCATTCTTTGCTTATATTCTGTTGGAAGAGTGATCCAGGTGCTGGGATGCAGGTTGGAGGGAAGGCTACGGTTTGAGATTAAACAGATCATCCGCCCACACAGGTAATTTGGGTTAGTGCTATCTGCAGCCCCTGGGCTAGGAGGGTATTAATGAGACTGCTCCTGTTTTCCCCAGAGGGTACTGAACCTGTAAGACGCTGGCTGGTGTCCCCTGAGCTTTGGGTGGGGTCCAGGCCTGAGTGTCCCAGATGCCACTCCCTCTTACCTCAACTTTCCTTTTCCCGTACCACCTGGAGATCTGGTCCGGTCTGTGGTCTGGGAAGGGGACGTATTCTTTTTTGTGAATGGATTGGGGTGTCTTGTCAGTGTCTCTGGTGAACTGGAAAAGACCAAATATTCAGGCAAACCTCTGAGATGTCACTTCTCAAACTTCTGCTGGTTCCACTTACCTCCTGGGCCATCAGAAGATGGGTATTGAAATGGTGAATACCAACCCCAGGACGTCCCGCTCAACACCTGAAAAGAGCTGGCCCGGGACTGGAGCCTTCCATCTGGCACCCCGGGGAAGAGCTGTCATTGGCCCCCCCCCCCCCCCCCCCCCCCCCCCGCGCCACCTGCTCGTGGTCCCCACCTGCGTCCTTTCTCATCTCTCTCCATGCTCTTGTCCCTCCTTGGCCTCCTCCATTTCTTTTTCTTCTTTGTTCCTCACTCTTTCCAACCCTCTCACTTTCTTTTTTTTTTAGATTGAGTTTTGCTCTTGTTACCCAGGCTGGAGTGCAATGGCGCGATCTCGGCTCACCGCAACCTCCGCCTCCTGGGTTCAGGCAACTCTCCTGCCTCCGCCTCCTGAGTAGCTGGGATTACAGCCACACGCCACCATGCTCAGCTAATTTTTGTACTTTTAGTAGAGACGGAGTTTCACCATGTTGGGCAGGATGGTCTCAATCTCTTGACCTCATGATCTGCCTGCCTCGGCTTCCCAAAGTGCTGGGATTACAGGTGTGAGCCACTGTTTTCTTAAAGTTTAATATGGTAAAATGTATTCAACGTAAAATATACCATTTTAGCCATTTTCAACTCTACAGTTCAGTGGTGCTCACACTGTTCTGCAGTCATCACCACCATCCTTCTAGAAGTCTGCTCACCTTGCAAAACTCAAACTCTGTGACCACTAGACACTAACTCTCCAAACTCCTTTCCCTGTAGCTGCTGGCAATCATCATTCTACTTTCTGTTTCTATGATCTTGCCTGTAACAGGCGCTCTGTGTAAGTAGAATCAGACAGTATTTGTCCTTTTGTGTCTGTCTTATCTCACTTAGTATAATGTCTTCAAAATTCATCCATTTGATAGCATGCGTCAGAGTTTTCCTTTTAGGGTTGATTCTCTTCCATTGTATAACTCATACCACATTTTGTTTATCCATTCATCCATCAGTGGGCATTCAGGTTACATGCACTTTTGGCCACTGTGAATAGTTGCTTTTTTTTTTTTTTTTGAGACGGAGTTTTGCTCGTTACCCAGGCTGGAGTGCAATGGCGCAATCTCGGCTCGGCGCAATCTCGGCTCACCGCAACCTCCGCCTCCTGGGTTCAGGCAATTCTCCTGCCTCAGCCTCCCAAGTAGCTGGGATTACAGGCACGCACCACTATGCCCAGCTAATTTTTTGTATTTTTAGTAGAGACGGGGTTTCATCATGTTGGCCAGGATGGTCTTGATCTCTTGACCTCATGATCTGCCCGCCTTGGCCTCCCAAAGTGCTGGGATTACAGGCATGAGCCACCGCGCCCAGTAAACCTACTCTTAAATACTTTATTTTTTGATGTTACTGTAAATGGAATTGTTTTCTTAATTTCCTTTTCAGAGCTCATTGTTAATGTTTACAAACACAACCAAGTTTTGTCTAAACTCATTTATTAGTTCTAACAGTTTGTGTGTGTGTGCATTGTGTTTGATCTTTAGGGTTTCCTATATATGAAGTCATGCCATCTGCAAAAAGAAGAGATAATTTTACTTTTTCCTTTCTAATTTGGAAGCTTTTCTTTCCTAATTGTTCTGGTAGACCTTCCAGTACTATGTTGAATAAAAGTGGCAAAAGCTGGCATCTTTGTCTTTTTCCTCATCTTAAAGGAAAAGCTTTCAATCTTTCACCATCAAGTATTATGTCAGCTGTGGGTTTTTGTCATTATGTTGAGGCAGTTTCCTTCTATGTCTAGTTTGTCGAATGCTTTTTTTATCAAAAGAAGTTTAATTTTGTCAAATGCTTTTTCTACATTGTGATGATTATGTAGTTTTTTTTCTTCATTCTAGAATATTGGTTACTTTTTATATATTGAACTTTATTTTTATTTAGAGACAATCAGCCAGGCTGAAGTGCAGTGGTAAGATCTCAGCTCACTGCAACCTCCACCTCCCAGGTTCAAGCCATGTTCATGTCTCAGTCTCTTGATTAGCTGGAACTACAGGTACATGCCACCATGCCCAGCTAATGTTTGTATTTTTTGTAGCGATGAGGTTTCATTATGTGAGCCAGGCTGGTCTCGAACTCATGACCTCAAGTGATCTGACTGCCTTGGCCTCCCAAAGTGCTGGGACTACAAACATGAGCCACTATGCCCAGCCCTTAACCATTCATGCATTCCAGGAATAAATCTCACTTGGTCATGGTGTACATAACCCTTTTAATATAATATTGAATTGGGTTTTCTATTATTTACTTGGGAATTTTTGCATCAATGTTCGTTAGGAATATTGGTTTGTAGTCTTCTTTTCTTGTAATTTCTTTGTCTTTAGTATCAGTGCAATGCTGCTTCATAAAATGAGTTAGAATGTATTTCCCCCTCTGATATTTTGGAAGCATTTGAGAAGGACTGATGTTCATTCTTTCTAAAATATTTGTTAGAATTCACCACTGAAGCCATTGGCTTTCCTTTGGGGAAATTTTTGATTACTAATTCAATCTCTTCACTATTGATCTATTCAGACTTTCTATTTATAATTCAGTATTGATAAACTGTATATTTCTTGGAATTTCTCCATTTCATGGAGAATTATACAAATTATCCAATTTTTTGGCATAAATTGTTCACAGTACTCTCCTATTATCTTTTTATGTTGAAAAAAAGTTGGTAGTTCTTTATTTATTTTTATTTTTTTAAAGACGGGGTCAGGCTGGTCTTGAACTCCCGACCTCAGGTGATCCACCCGCCTTGGCCTCCAAAGTGCTTGGATTACAGGCGTGAGCCACCACACCTGACCAAAAGTTGGTAGTTCTTTTACACTTTTCATTTCTAATTTTAGTTACTTGCATCTATTCTCTTTTTTTTCTTTAGTCAATATAGATAAAGATTTGTACATTTTATTGATCTTTTCAAAAAACCAACTAGGATTCTGTTTGCTTGTTTGTTTGTTTTGAGATGGAGTCTCACTCTATTACCTAGGCTGCAGTGCAGTGGTATAATCTTGGCTCACTGAAACCTCCACCTCCCAGGTTCAAGCAATTCTCCTGCCTCAGCCACCTGAATAGCTGGGATTACAGGCATGCACCATGAGGCCCGGCTAATTTTTGTATTTTTAGTAGAGACTGAGTTTCACTATGCGGCCAGGCTGGTCTTGAACTCCTTACCTCAGATGATCCACCTGCCTCGGCCTCCCAAAGTGCTAGGATTATAGGCGTGAGCCACCATGCCTGACCCCAACTCAGTTTTGTTGATTTTTTTCTGTTGTTTTTCTATTTCCTATTTTACTTATCTCTTCTCCAATTTCCTTCCTTCTGTTAGCTTTGCATCTTATTTGTTCTTTTTTTTTTTCTATTTCCTTAAAGGGTAAAGTTAGGTTGTTAATTTGAGGTATTTCTTCTTTTTTAATGAGCTGACAGCTGTAAATTTCCCTCTTAACAGCATTTTCCCTGCATCCCATAAGTTTTGGTATGTTGTATTTTCATTATCATTTGTCTCAAGATATTTTCTAATTTTTGTGTGATTTTTTTTCTTTACTGATTTTTTTTAACAGTGTGTTGTTTAATTTCCACGTATTTGTGGATTTTTCAGTATTTCTTCTGCTATTGATTTTTAGGTTCATTTCATTTGTGATCAGAAAAGATACTTTGTATGATTTTAATCTTTATAATTTACTAAAACTTGTTTTGTAGTGTAACATATGGTGTATCCTGGAGAATATTCCATATGCACTTGAGAGAAAGCAAAACACCACCAACAACAAAAACATGTATTATGTCTTGGTAGGAGGAGTATCTGTCAGATCCAGTTGATCCATAGGGTTGTTCAAGTCCTCAATTTTCTTCTTGATCTTCTGTATTTTTTTATCCAGTATTAAAAGTGGGGTATTGAAGTACCCTACTATTATTGTAGAGTCATCTATTTCTCCCTTCAATTCTGTCCATTTTTGCTTCATACATTTCAGAGCTCTAATATTTGGTGTATATACATGTGTATTATTATACCTTCTTCTTGGTGAATTGGCCCTTTTATCAATAGATAACGTCTCTCTTTGTCTCATAATGGTTTTTAACTTAAAGCCTACTTTGTCTGATACAAGCCCTACCTACTCCTTTCTGGCTCTAATTGCGCAAAATATCTCTGCTTCCTTTCACTTTCAACTTACACGTGTACTTCCATCTATAGTCAGTCTCTTGCAGGCAGCATATGGTTGGATCCTGTTTTGTAAACTCTCTGCTAATGTTTGCCTTTTATTGGGAAGTTTAATTCATTTACATTTAAAAGTGATTACTGATAGGGAAGGACTTACTTTTGCCATTTTAGTATTTGTTTTCTGTATGTCTTGTAGATTTTTCTCCCTTATTTGCTCTTACTGTCTTCTTTTGTGTTTTATTTTTGAGGGGCACATTTTGATTCCCTTATTATTTCTTTTGTGAATATTTGATAGGCATTTTCTTTGTGGTTACCATGGGGATAATATACAATGTTCTACAGTTATAACAACATATTTTAAATTGTGACCAACTTGGCCGGGTGCGGTGGCTCATGCCTGCAATCCTAGCACTTTGGGAGGCCGAGGTGGGTGGATCACCTGAGGTCAGGAGTTCAAGACCAGCCTGGCCATTGTGGTGAAACCCCATCTTTTAAAAAAAAAATTGTGACCAACTTAAATTGCATACCAAAACTCTACTCTTTTTATAGCCCTGCCTCCCTCTGCTTTATGTTATTGAAGTCACAAATTACATCTTTACATAATGCATACTCATTTACATAGATTTATAATTTTATGCACTCGTCTTCTAAATTCTGTCAAAAATAAGGAGTGGAGTTATATTCCAAAATTATAATAACTCTGGCTTTTATGCTTGTCTACATATTTACCTTTCCTGGAGAAGTTTATATTTTTGTATGACTTCAAGTTACTGTCTAATGACCTTTCATTTCAACTTCAAGGATTGTCTTTGAGAATCCTTCCTTGCAAGTTAGGTCTACTGTCAATAAACACCCTCAGCTTTTGTTTATCTGGGAATGGCTTAACTTTTCCCTCATTTTTAAAAGACAGTTTTGTGGAATACAGAAATATCAGATAACAGTATTTTTTTTATCAGCACTTCAAATATATTATCCCATGGCCTTCCAGGCTCCAGGGTTTCTGCTGAGAAAATTCCCTAATTATCTTTTTTATTATTTATTATTTTTTTTTTTTGAGACAGGGCTTTACTCTCACTCTGTCACCCAGGCTGGAGTGCAGTGGCATGATTTTGGCTCACTGCAAACTCCACCTCTCAGGCTCAGGTGATCCTCCCACCTAAGTCTCCTGAGTAGCTGGAACTACAGGAATATACCATGTGCCCAGCTAATTTTTATCTTTTGTAGAGATGGGGTTTTACCATGTTGCCCAGCTGATCTTGAACTCCAGGCTCAAGCAATCCACCTGCCTTATCTGCCTAAAGTGCTGAGATTCAGGCATGAGCCACCACATCTGGCCAATTCCCTAATAATCTTGCTGAGGATCCATTGTTCTTGATGAGTTACTTTTCTCATGGTGCTCTCAAGATTCTCTCTTTGTTTTTGGGTTTCAATATTTTAATTATAAAGTGTTTCAATGAGGGTCTCTTTAGATTTTTTCCTACTTGGAGTTCATTGAATTTCTTGGATATGTAGATCTATGTATTTACTGAAATTTGGGAATATTTCATTCATTATTTTTTCAAATACTCTCTTGGCCCTTTTCTCTCTTCTCCTTATGGAATCCCCTTAATGCATATATTAATATGCTTGATAGTGTCCCATAAGACCTATAGGCTCTGTTCACTGCCTTTAAATTTGCTGATTCTTGCTCCTGCCTATTCAAATCTGCTGTCAAATCCCTCTATTGAATTTTTCAATTTAGTTATTGCATTTTTCAGCTTTAAAACTTGTTTGACTCCTTTTTAAAATTTCAATCTCCTTTTTGATAGTCTCATTTTGTTCATGTATTGTTTTCCTTATTTACTTTGGTTCTTTGTGTCCTTTAGCTACTTGTCCATATTTAAGTCAGCTGTTTTAAAGTCTTCTCCCATTGATTTTCTTCCTTTGGATGAGCCATTTTTTTTTCTATTTCTTTGTATGTCTGGGGTTTTTTTTGTTGTTGTTGAAAATTGGGCATTTGAAAAACAGCCAACTCTTCCAGTCTCTGTAGACTGTCTCTGCAAGGGAAGACCTTTTCTAACCAGCAGGTAATGTTCTGAGTCTTGGGGTCAGCCCAACATGAAGGCTTAAAGCATTCTCAAGCCTGGTGTACATCTTGCCTGGACCTGGGTATGCTTTTTAAAATTCCCCCATATACACAGCTGCCTTTAAATGTTTTAATTTCCAAGAAAAAGTCTCACCCCTGCTTCTTCTTGGACTTCAGATGTTCTATTGTATTCCTCTACCCATAGTCTCTGGCCCCAGGTATTTATAGGTTTGTAATCCCCTGGCAGCTTTCACTAGCTGTGCCTGTCATTGCTTTCCATGGCTTTTCCCAGCCTGAGATCTGAACCATGCCACCTTCTCCCATCTGAGCTCCAAGTCAGATGAAATAGCAATCCCTCAGGCAGCCCCAGACAGTTTCAAATGTTGCTCCACCCACTCTGATTTGAAAGAGGGAGCTTGGAGCTGAGCTGCCACTTGCCCTAAAATGCAGACTATGCTGTGCTGTGCTGGGGAGGTAGTGGGAAAAGAGTAAGTAAAAACATCATGGAATTTCCTATCATTCTGAATGTGCCTTTTTCTTGATTGGGCATTTGGCTGGCTGCTGTGTATCTTTGACTGTTTTCCAGAGCTCCTATAACGTTTTCACGTTTTTTCTTTAATGTTTCCATGGGGAATGAGAACCTGGAGCTTCTCAGTGGCTTAGTCTCACTTCTTAGGTGTGAGACCAGCCCATAATGTCCCTGAGTAGTGCATCACCCATGGGCACCTGAAGGTATTTTTGACCAGTCCTTTTTGCTTTTGGAATTTTTCTTGCACATACCTGCTCCCCAAACAAGGCCAAGTACAGTTGTTGCTGATGATGAACAAAGGTTGTATCTGGCCAGAGAGGTGGTGATTACTAACATTCTCCATAAAAACAGACTTTAAACTTTCCTTCTTTTCTCCATACCAAAGCTGACAATTCTATTTCACCTTCTTTTCCTTGCTCACTTTCCAAGAAGACATGGAGAAGTGTAGATACCTTTGAAAAACTTAAATGGCTTAGTCTTGCCAAACACGAATGAAGATATTCAATTTCAAGTACATCATCTTGAAACTTTGCCAACTCAGGCAAGGTGTTTTCCAAAGACCTTTATAACACAGAGGAAAACCAAGAGCCTAATTGTTCTGTTTGAAAGCAAAAATTGGCTGGGCATGGTGGCTCACACCTATAATCCCAACACTTTGGGGGGCCAAGGCAGGCAAATCATTTGAGGTCAGAAATTTGAAACCAGCCTGGCCACATGGTGAAACCCCATCTCTACTATAAATACAAAAATTTAGCCAGGTGTGGTGGCGTGCATCTATAGTTCCAGCTACTCGAGAGACTGAGGCAGGAGAATTGCTTGAGCCCGGGAGACATAGGTTGCAGTGAGCCAAGATTATCCCACTGCACTTCAGCCTGGGCAACAGAGCGAGACTCTGTCTCAAAACAAAAAAAAAAAAGAAAGAAGGTAAAAATTGAAATGCATTGGTAGGGCAAGATTGTGGAAAGGTGCCAGAGAGCAGCAAGCACATCCCTGGACATCAGTGCAGAGAATGCCAAGCTGGCCTGAGGAGGTACCACATTCTGGGAAGGGCCAGGATAAGGAGAGCAAATGTTCTTCACATCAAGGTACAAAAGAATTAGGGACAGCACGTATATAGATGCCTAGAAACACTTCACTGAGAATAGTGCTGAGAAGCACAACTATATTGACACCCTGCTACAGTATTCTAAAGATAGAGTAGGGAACTTGATGGTTGCTTGAATATAACTATCCTTTGTACAGCACGAAGACCCCAATGCCACATTTTTAAGATGCAATCATCTGCTGCCCTCCATCTGAAAACAGTGATGGACTTCACTCCCGCCTCTCCCCATCAGTCCTTCCTCTGAGCCCTCTGCCCAACATCTCTCGTTTCCTTACCTTTCTCCTCTCTTCCACCCAGTTTCCAGTGAGCACTCTTGTTGAATACTTGGTCTCGATCTGCCAGCTTGGAGTAGAGACTGGTTGTGGATTTACTGCAGTGAAAAACATGATAAGGATTTGCCCCAGGTTTCTTTGACTTGACACAGTTTAAGGTTTTAGGGAGAGAGGAAGGTGTTATGAAGTTGCTGAGTTTGGGGTGCCTTTTTTTTGTCTTCCCAGCTGGCCTCCTGATGGCTCCCTGCTAACCTCAGAAAATACAACGGCCCCAAGGGTTCACTTTCAGCCTCTAGAGAGAGGTGATCTATCTTGGATTCTCTACTGTTGACTATCTCCATGGTGACAGACTCTGGGTATAAATAATCTCTGTAACAGAACAGCTGATTCTGCAGAAGCAAAATTGAGCTTGCAAAAATAAATCAAACCAACCACCACCACAAAGGCAGCCTCCGGAAGAACCTGGTTTCTGTGTTATCACTATAATACCAGCATCATCTTTGCTACACTTTTACAATTGGGATGAGTTAGATTCTGCTACTATTTAACGAATGTTAATTCATTTGCTTGCTCCAAGCAAAGACATTTATGTACATTCATTCACCTGTTTAATCCTCACAGCCGCCTTCTGAGACAGATGCCACTGTTATACCCATTTTACTAACGAGTACGCCGAAGCAAAGAGATTAAGTCACTGCCTAACGTCATGCGGTTGTGATGAGATTTAAATTCCACACAGAGATTTAAATCCACTCTGGTTCAGACCTAAACCACTGGGATCCCTTCATTTCCTGTCTGCTACTTTTCAGGGGCTTGCATAAAGAATTCTATCTTTGTGTCTGCATTGGTATAATACAGTTCATTCGGTCAGTCTTCATTCATTCATTCCGCAATCATTTCACATTCTATGTCAGGTGCTTAGCTGCAGCTGCAATGCATTAGCAACCAGACCTGGGCACCATCTCCACAGAGCTCAGTCCAATGAAATAAGGGTCTTTGTCTTGCTCATTCATTAGGAAAAAAAAAAAGTCAAAAAGCACCAAGATATCCATCAACAGAGGGCTGGTTCAATAAATTGTACTATATCCATATAATGAAATACTTGGCAAGTGTTTTAAAGGCTGATTTAGGAAGATGCCTATAACAGATAGTTAAGTTAAATAACCAAAACCCTGTGTGCTGTAGTATTGCTTGCTAAAAATGAAGAGGCTGGATTTACTGCAGTAGAGAAATTCAGAGCAAGTTTCCAATGGCCTTTAAACAAAAATATTGGAACTCCAGGAAACTACGTGTTCCTTCTTGAAACTAAGCCTGTGGCAGGAAAAGGCCATGAAAGACGTCCCGCAGATTAGAATAAACCTTTATTAGCAGAGACCACAGTGGGGGCAGGGCTGGAGCTAGGAAGAGGCGATGTCCTTCTAATTAACGTGCAGAGGAGCCATGTGTTCGGCATAATTCAATTCCATCCTCACGTGAAACACAAACATCAAAAAGTACATTACAAATAAATGTGCAGGCTGACTGCGGTGGCTCACACCTGTAATCCCAGCACTTTGGGAGACCAAGGAGGGTGGATCACGAGGTCAGGAGTTTGAGACCAACCTGGCCAATATGGTGAAACCCCAACTCTACTAAAAATACATAAAATTAGCTGGGCATGGTGGTGTGCACCTGTAATCCCAACTACTCGGGAGGCTGATGCAGGAGAATTGCTTGAACCCAGAAGGCAGAGATTGCAGTGAGCCTAGATCAGACCACTGCATTCCAGCCTGGGCAACAGAACAAGACTCCGTCTCAAAAAATAAATGAAAATAAATAAATGTACAGATAATTGAATTATGGAATAGCAAAACCCCACAAAAACCACTGAGTTGGTCAAGAAAGAAAACATTGGCCAGGCGCGGTGGCTCAAGCCTGTAATCCCAGCACTTTGGGAGGCCGAGGCAGGTGGATCACGAGGTCAACAGATCGAGACCATCCTGGTCAACATGGTGAAACCCTGTCTCTACTAAAAATTACAAAAAATTAGCTGGGCACGGTGGCACATGCCTGTAATCCCAGCTACTCAGGAGGCTGAGGCAGGAGAATTACCTGAACCCAGGGGGCGGAGGTTGAGGTGAGCCAAGATCACGCCATTGCACTCCAGCCTGGGTAACAAGAGCGAAACTCCGTCTCAAAAAAGAAAAGAAAACATTGCCAGTGCGCCCAGAGTACTCCACATGTCCCTCCCACTCACAACCCTTTCCTCCCCTAAAGGAAACCACTGTCTTGACTTTCATAGCAATCATTTCCTTGCTTTTCTCTATATGCTTAATGCCGAAGTATGCTCCTAAACCATAATGTTCAGTTTTGCCTATTTCTGGACTTTCATACAAGTGCAATCCTATAGTATTGAGTCTGATCTCCCCAGGCAAGTTAATGTTTTTAAGATTCACGCATTTTGCATGTTGTCATGTTTACTATGTTTTATTCATCATGGCCATGGAAAAGACCGCCAGCATGGCTAAATAGTAAAAAGAAGAGCTTTAATGGTGATGGAAGTTTGCAAACCGCACAGACGGATAGTCTCCAGCATGGATCAGAGCTATTCTCTCTTCCAAGAGAAGAAGGACAGGTTGGGTTTCATGCTTCACAAGGCCTGTATTTATATATATTCAGCAGGTTTGGGGGGAAGCTATACATATTTATGAGTGGAACTGAGCACATGCACAGTGGAAAAACATGTACGTAACATCTTTCATACATGTTACGTAAAAAACATGTACATAACATGTTTCGTACACATGTACGTAACAATATTTCGTAAACATGAAATAGCTTTGCATGTTTGTGGATTGCATGTAAATGGAATCCTATAGTATCTGTTTATTCAAGTCTGGCTTCTTTTCCCCAATATTGTGAACGTTTTAAAGATTCACCCATGTTGCATGTAGCCCTGGCTGCTATGACTGTTTTGTACACGATTGTCACTCAAAAGACCGCCAGGGTGGGTAAATAGTAGGAGAGCTTTCTTGGTGACACCAGCTTGCAAACTGTGGGCCAGGTTTTAATATTAAATGAGGTGGAATTTGGCTCTTTATGTCAAAGGTGAACTGTAGGACACAAAGAGAGTTTCTGCACAGCCTCTATAAGCTGGCTGAAACTGGCTTTAGGTCTGCAAGATAAGCCCGGGCAACATGGTAAAACCCCCATTTCTTAAAAATATATCTATACACAAAAAATAGCCAGGTGTGGTGGTGCTCACCTGTAGTCCCAGCTACTAGGGAGGCTGAGATGGGAGGATCCCTTGAGCCCAGGAGTTTGAAGCTACAGGGAGGTGTGATCATGCCACTGCACTCTAGTCTGGGTGACAGAGAAAGATCCTGTCTCAAAAAAAAAAAAGAAATTAAAATAGAAATTTAAAATATATTTTGGTGGTCATCTGGAGAATACTGCTCTATTAGGCTGTGTAGATCTTCCAAACTACACCATATTTTAAAAAATACACTTGCTGCTGGATACGGTGGCTCACACCTTATAATACCACCACTTTGGGAGGCTGAGGCCAGCCAATCACTTGAGCTCAGGAGTTGAAGATCAGCCTGGGCAACCTGACAAAACCACATCTCTACAAACAAATACAGAAATTAGCCAGGCGTGGTGATGCACACCTGTAGTCCCAGCTACTAGGGAAGGTGAGGTAGGAGGATGGCCTGAGCCCAGAAGGTGGAGGCTGCAGTAAGCAGTGATTGCACCACTGTACCTAGCTTGGGCAACACAGCGAGACCCTGTCTCAAAAAAAAATCCCATCTGCTAACATCTTTACTGACATCGTCAGAAAAGCGCTGAACTGTTAGGAAGCTGTCCAGCTCACAGTGGCGGGCGCAAGTTTTCCAAAGTTCTAGCTCTAGTTCTGTTATTGGCAACACAATTTTGTTATTGGCAACAACTAAGCTCAATTGTTTTCCTTGAAGTGACAGACTTACTTCATTTATTTTCAAGAAAACATTTCATCGGGAGGCTGAGGCAGGAGAATAGCTTGAATCTGGGAGGCAGAGGTTGCAGTGAGCCAAGATCGCACTCCAGCGCTCCAGCCTGAGTGACAGAGCAAGACTCTGTCTCAAAAACAGACAAACAACAACAACAAAATAAAACATTTCAAATTTAAATAATCATGGTTTGTCTGCAGGTAATCATGGTCTGTCAAGTAAGTATGGTATTTCATTAAAAAAAAAAAAAAAAAAAAAAGCCCGGCTAATTAACTCGGTTCACAAGCAAACTTGCTTTTTTTTTGTTTAAACTGTGAGTATGTGGCAGTGAAGAATAAATGATACTAATACAGTTAATGGCACTACCTTAATTTGCGCATAGGTGCCAGCAATTTTACCCACAAATGCTTTTGCACCATCGAAGTCAGTACTGTGGGCCAGGTGCGGTGGCTCACACCTGTAATCCCAGCACTTTGGGAGGCCGAGGCAGGTGGATCACCTGAGATCAGGAGTTCGAGAACAGGTGCCCAAAATGGTGAAACCCTGTCTCTACCCATAATACAAAACTTAGCTGGGAGTGGTGGTGCACCACTACTCGGGAGGCTGAGGCTGGAGAATCGCTTGAACCCAGGAGGCAGAGGCTGCAGTGAGCAAAGATCATGCCATTGTACTCCAACCTGGATGACAAGAGTGAAACTCTGTCTCAAAAAAAAAAAGTCAGCACTGTGGAAAAAGGCAAATAACATCTCAGTATTATTATGAAAATTGTTTTGACCTCACAGGCCCCTTGGAAGGGACTTGGGGTCTCCAAGCCTCTGTGGATCTCACTTCGAAGCCCACTGCTCTAAGGATCAATATTTTGGAGTGAAATTGCTGCATCAGAGAGTGCCTATGTGTCTCCAACTGTACTATATAATGCCAATTATTTTCCAGAGTGTTGTATCAACTTACATTTCCACCATGAGTGTATGGGTGTTTCCATTGCTCCACACCTTCCCCAACTCTTTCAGCATCCCAAACAGAAACTCTATACCCATTAAGCTATAACTCCCCATGCTCCCCTTCTCCTAAACCCCCGGTAATCTCTATGCTACTTTATCTCTGTGAATTTGCCTAGTCTAGGTATCTCATATAAGTGGAATCATATAATCCTTGTCCTTCTGTGTCAGTTGTCTTTCACCGAGATGATGTTGTCAAGGTTCATGTATGTTGCAGCATGTATCAGAACCGCACTCCTCTTTAGGGCTGAATGGTATTTCTGTTGTATGTATTTAACACAGTTTATCCATTCATCTGGGGATGGACATTTGATTTGTTTTCACCTTTTGGCTTTTGTAAATAATGCTGGTTTGAACATTGGTGTACAAGTAGATGTTTGAATCCCTGCTTTCAGTTCTTCAAGTTGATTCCTAGGAATGAAATTGGCACCACAAAACTGTTTTCTTCTCTCTCTCTTTTTTTTTTCTTTTCAGGTCAGATGGGTTATGTGCTGACGTCATGACATGGTTCGAGGGTGGCACGTCTCACACACGTATGTGAACACCCAATCATCATGTTCATGAACCATAAAAGGATCTGTTTCCCACAGCGTCTGCATCATTTCTCATTCCCACCCACGGTGCCCGAGGGTTCCCATTTCCCTACATTCTCACCGACACTTGTTATTTTTCATTTTCTAAATAATAACCATCCTCACTGGGGTGAAGAGGTATCTCATTGTGATTTCAGTTTTCTCTAATGGCTAATGGTACTGATCACCTTGTCATGTGCTCATTGGCCATTTATATATCTACTTTAGAGAAATGTCTGTTCAAGTCCTTTGCCCAGTTTTTGTTTTGTTTCCGTTTTTATTTTAGGTTCCAGGGGTGTATGTACAGGTTTTTACATGCAAATATTGCAAGGTCCTAGAGTTTGAGCTTCTAATAATTCTGCCACCCACACAGTGAACATAATACCCAATAGGTGGTTTTCAACACTTGCCCTCCTTCCCCCTCACCACTTTGGGAATCCCTGGTATCCATTGTTCTAATGCATGTGTCCGTATGTCCCCAGTGTAGAGCTCCCACTTATGAGTGAGAACATGTGGTTTTTGGTTTTCTGTCTCTGCATCAATTCACTCAGGATAATGGCCCCCAGCCACATCTGTGTTGCCACAAAGAACATTATTTCATTCCTTTTTATGGCTGTGTAGTATTCCATGATGTATATGTACCACATTTTCTTTTCTTTCTTTTCCTTTTCTTTTCTTTGAGACAAGGTCTCACTTTGTCACCCATGCTGGAGTACAGTAACGTGATCACAGCTCCCTGCAGCCTCAACCTCCCAGGCTCAAGCAATCCTCCTGTCTCAGTCTCCTGAGTAGCTGGGACTGCAGGTGTGCACCACCACGCCTGGCTAATTTTTGTATTTTTGTTAGAGATGAGGTTTCACCATGTTGCACAGGCTGGTCTCAAACTCCTAGGTGCAAGTGATCCACCCACCTCAGCCTCCCAAAGTGCTGGGATTATAGGCATGAGCCACTGCACCCAGCCGGTACCACATTTTCTTTATCCAATCCACACCATCGAGGGCACTGGGTTGATTCCATGTCCTTGCTGTTGTAAATAGTGCTGCGATAAACATGCAAGTATAGGTGTCTCTTTGGTAGAAGGGTTTATTTTCCTTTGGGTAAATACCTAGTACTGGGATTGTTGGATCTAACTGTAATTCTAGTCTTAGTTCTTTGCCTTTGCTAATTTTTAAATCAGGTTGTGTGTGTGTGTGTGTGTGTGTGTGTGTGTGTGTGTGTGTGTGTGTCTGAGTGTGAGTTCTTCCTTGAATATTAAGGAAATGAAGCCACCTGGGCCAGGAGGTTTCTGTCTTATTTTTGTTGGAATGCGTTTTATTTTAGATTCACTATCTTTATTAGGTACAAAGCTAAGTAGGTTTTCTGTTTCCTTTCCAGCTTTGGTAAGTTGTATTTTTCTAGGAATTTACACATTGCATCTAAATTTTCAACATTTCTGACCCATGTCGTTCACAATGTCTTCTTCTTATCATTTTAAGTCTCCAGGGCCTGTATTAAAGTTCTGTTTATGCCTAGTATTTGCTATTTATGCCTTTTCTCTTTTATATTTATTGGTCTTACTAGATGTTTACCAATTTTATCAGTCTTTTCCAAGAGCCAAAACGTGGCATGGTTGATCATCTCTTTCTGTGATTGTTTTATTTTAAATTTTCCTTTAAAGATATAAAAAAGAATAAAGAAATATTTAGAAGTATAAAAATACTTTTGAAAACTTTATTTTTTTCATTACCTTTCTTGTATTTTCTTTGGATTTGTTTTGCTATCGGTTTTCTAGTTTTTGAGATGGATGTTTAGTTCATTAATTTCCAGCCTTTATTTCTTTCTTTTGTATGTTTTTAAGACTACAAATTCCTTTAATTGTTGTTTTGAAGATATAAATTCCCTTAACTATTATTTTTCTGCTTCCCATAGTGAACTAAACCATTTTCTGTTAGTTTAGTGTTTACCAAAGAAATTACCATGCACTCGTGATGTAGCAAAATCTAATGTTGGTTGATACTTTTATCCTCCTCCCAGAAAACTCTAGGACCTTAGAACAATCTAACTTTATTTGGTCCCTTCCAGACCCATATGTTATTATGTACTCTCATTCTCCCTCCTATATGTTTTACATTACAAGTTATTATTATCATCGTATAGCGTTTACTTTGATTTGCCCATATATTTGCCATTTGCATTATTTTTTATTCCATTCTGCATCTCTGATCTCCCATCTGTGATCATTTTCCTTTTTCCTGAAGAACTCTTTGGAATTCCTTTAACGGAGTTCTGATGGCGGCAAACTTCCTCAGTTTCTATATGTCTGAAAACATCTTTATTTCACTTTGATTCTGAAGGATATTTTCGGTGAGTGTACAATTCCAGTATGGCAGTTGCTATTCTTCACACATGGAAGATATCATTCCATTGTTTCTTGACTGTCGTTGTTCCTTCTGAGAAAACAAGTGTCACTCTAAGTAGTAATTCTTTTAAGGTATTTGGGTCATTCTTTTGTTTTGTTTTTAAGATTTTCTCTTTCTGTTTGGTTTCCTGCAGCTTTATTCTGATGTCTCTAAGAGTGGATTGCTTTATGCAACTTGCAATATGCTTCTTGGATTTATGGATAAATGTCTTTCAATCATTTTAGGAAAGTCCTAGCTATTATATGTTCAAATATGGCTCCTACCTGCTTTCTTTCCCCTGTCCTTCTGGGACACCAGTTACATATTTGTCCTTTCTTATCACTCAATCCTCAATGCCTCTGGCCCCCTATTCTGTATTTCCTATCCTTTTGTCTCTTCATGCTTGATTTCTTATCATTTCTTCTGTCCTAGATTCCTCTTTACGTAACTTTTTTTCAGGTGTGTCTAAGGTAAAATCAAACCTTTTAAAGTAAACTAAATATGGCCTGAGAAGGACTCTGTACTTTTCTATTTGAGTGCCTGAGGACAAATCGCAACCTGGCTTAATAGGTAGACAAGATTGAAAACTAACTTATGAGTCTGCGCCTTTAACAACAGCTGAGTCTTGGCCCATCCCAGAAGCCATGCTTCAGCCATGCATAGGCTGCCGAGGTTCAAACTGTGTTTAAATAAGGCAAACATCAACCTGTAGCCAGTCCAGCTGTTTCTGTACCTCACCTCCAATTTCTGTATATCACCTCCCCTTTTTGTCTATAAATTTGTTATCACCACGAGGCACCTCTGGAGTCTCTCTGAATCTGAGGGCTGCCCAATTTGCAAATCATTCATTGTTCAATTAAACTCCTTTAAATCTAATTTGGCTGAATCTTTTCTTTTGACAAGTCTATCCATTGAATTTTTTTTTTCGTTTACTGCATTCGTCAGTTCTGGAATTTCTATTTGCTTCATATATGTGCATGTGTGTGTGTGTGTGTCTGTGGGTGTGTATCAATGCTATGTTATTTAAAACTGTTTATATTCTAACCAGAGTCATGTGATACTACTTTTTTTTTTTAATTTTGTTTTGCCTCCTGAACTTTTAAATTACCACTTTCAACCTCCCCAAATTTCAAATTTAGATTTTATGTCCTTGAACATAGTAAGTAGACCTATTTTACGGAATGTGGATTTTTCTTTTCTTTTTTTACTGCTGTTTCTGTGCATTTTTATTTCTAGCTCTTTTCTTCTCATGTAGCTGGTATTTTAAAACTTTTTTGCAAAAATAATTAAAAGCCTAGAATATTACCTTCCTCCAGAGATGATTGCCATTTGCTTTTCCAAGCACCTGTGAACATTATAAATAGGGGACCACTTTAATCCAATGTATGGATTGGATTATGGACCAGTTTGATCCAAGCCCATAGCAGAAGAACCTAACCTTGACTGGAATAAGAAGGCTTACCAGGGAAGACAAAGTCTCAAATGGGACCCAAGGAGTGCATAATGAATTGACTTCTCCACTCTCGATCCACTATGACATAGAAATATTTCTTAAAGATGGCAAATCAGTTTCAGGATATGACAAAGGGAACTGAATGGTTGTAGGGTGGTGGATTTGGAACTCACACCTACTTGGCTTCAAATTCCAGTTCTACCACTTACAAAGAAACTTTTGCCAAGTTCCCTGGCCACATCGACCTTGGCTTTTGATCTATAAATACTGTGTGCTTCATAACATGATAAGGATTCAATGCAATGTCATCTAAAATCACTTGGTAAAACGTCTGTCACATATAAAAGGCCAAAAAATAGTCAATTCTTTCTCCTCTTTGTGCTTAAACCAAGTTTATTCCAGTAACAAAATTTATTCCTTTTCTTTCATTAGAAGAGCGTATTTGAAAATTTGGGGCAGAAGAATCCCAAGAGAAGTAAGTCTAGATTCTCTTGGAACAGAGAATTCCTGCATACAAGACTAACTCGTTGACCCCATCAGGGCTTTGCTGTGAGTCTGATCAACAGCACTCCCCACCACCTACAACCGATTCTGACAAGCAGCATATACCTAATCACAACTTGCACTGAGTCAGCATAAACAACCCATGCCCTAAATAGGATGATCCCCATTTCAAGGCAAGAAAACCGAGGCCTGGGAGGTTAAATGTTGAGTCTCTGATTGACTCCAGATCACGTATTCTTCATTATTCTACCTCCTGGAGGGGCCTTGGGAATGCAGCAGCAACAAGCCCAAAATTTATCTCTTCAACATAAAATTGAAGCTCCTCTGTCCTTTAGTGACTACAGCCAGGGAACTGTTTCATGGTAATGGAGACAGAGCCTTGAGGGTTTTTTCCTATGACTAGAAATGCTTTGAAAACAAAGTCCAGGCACTGGCTTATCTGATTCAACCTTGTACAGCAATTTGCAAGACAGCCAGCTGCAATACTGGGCAGTGGTGTTCATGTCAGGGAAGCAAACGAGCCTTGGCAACCTGCGCATCTAGGAGCCAGTTCTGACAACCTTTGCTTTGTTACATGGAGGCCAGGATATTTGAGGCAAAAACCCACTATGGTTTGAGTCAAGAAACTTTCCTATTTTTTTGAGACGGAATTTTGCTCTTGTTGCCCAGT